GCCCTGACTTTGTAACTAGCAAGTCCTATCCAAAACTCAGATTTGTCATCTGTAAAATGGATATAATAGTGCTTGCCCTCACCACTTCACAGGATTGCTGAGGAGATCAAATGAGATATATCAAGATATTATACCTATGAAAGCATTTTGAAAAACTATAAAGCTTTATACAACTAGAAGGTGATAATATTATCATCAAAATTCTTCATCATCATTATTCTCAATTATTGAATTTCCCAACTATGTAAAGAATGTTTGCCCACCTCTACCAAAGCCAGAGCACAATACATAGACTGAAACGTCAATAAGAAGGATTTAGGTCAGTCAGGGAAAAGCATTCTGAAACAGGTGATTGAAGGTATTTATGCAGAGCTTTAAGAAAGGAAAGTGCATCTGTCTGAGATGTTCTAAATCAGAAGGTTTCAAAGTCAGATGGAATAGGTAACTTCTGAGGAATGTATCCACTGCCATTAACTTGTTTATTGGGAATATACCATATATTCTCATGTACAAATATCAGGACACAATCCACTAACAGTAAGGCTTTAGCTTTGGGTTGTTGATTTGTTCCTTCATCTGGAGAGGAGATTGTATTGATTAATGGGAAGATAAAATAAATTAATGGAAAGAACTCTTAGCTAGGAGTCAAAAGTCTGAGTTCTGGTCCTTGTTCTGTTATCCAAGAGTACCTCCATGACCTTGAGCAAGTCCTATTAGCCTCTACATGCCTCAGTTTCCTCAAATGTAAAATAGGGATAATAATATTTACACTATATGCTTCACAGGGTTTTTGTAAAGAAAACTCTTTAAAAAGCAAGCTTTTAAAATCCTTGAAGTTATTATTAGGATTAGTAGTACAGCAGATGTATCTTAAAAATAATGGAATTGTATCAACTACAGTAGTATGGTATAGTGGAAAAATCACTGGACTTAGATACATATGACTTGAAATTTAGTTCTGGCTCTGCTACTGATTACCTATATGATCCTGAACATGTCACTTTATCTCTTAGGGCCTGAGTGTCCTCATCTTTAAATGAGAGGATTAAAAGAACTGATTTCAATAATCTCTACCAATAATCATATCATCTAATACATAGGATGTGTGCTTCCTTTAAAGTCCTTTAGTATATGCTTCATGTTATACTATGTAAGTATAATATATTATTATAATGATCAGTACAGGTTATACAGAGAAATGGTGGAAACTACTACACATCACTGCAGAGTACAAAAGTTTAGCCCCAACCAAATACATAGCAAAACATGCCTCAATAGCTAGAATTTTACATTGCATGCTTCCTATGTTTCATCAATTAAAAGGCAACAGATCCCCATGATACAAATACAGACTTAAAGTTATCCAGGAGAATGCAATCAATAAACTGCCATGGAATTGGACCATTGTCACAGATCAAATTGTTGCCCATGATTGCCGAGACAGAACATCGATCCATAAAAATTTTAGAACAATATTTTTATCACCATATACAATTAAAATATCCTCCAACTGAAATGGAAGAAAGAACTTCCAAAATACAGAAGGGATCAAAATTACAAAATGTGGAAACAGGACAAAGTACAGATCATCCTCATCATCCTATTTGCTTTCATTGAGTTTATTGAGGATAAACTACTTTAGTAAACTACAAAAAATCAGGTATTTTATTCACTTGCACAGTAATCCACAGAACATTAAATATAAAAGAATAATAGCAGGCCAGTATCTTGTTTCAGGACCTTCTTCATCTGAACTTTATTGGAAAAGGTAAGAAGAATGAGATGATAATAATATAGTGAGAATGAAAAAAAACAATGATGGCTAACACTTATGTGGTGCTTTAAGATTTACAAAACATTTTACATACGTTATCTCATTTGATCCTCACAATCCGATGAGACAGTCATTTTTGTTACCCTCACCTTATAAATAAGGAAAATGAGGTTCAGAGAGATTAAATGACTTGCCTAGGGTCACATAGTCATTAAGTTTTGGAGGCATGACTTGAACCCAGATCCTTCTGACTCTAAGTCCAACTCTTTCCTACTATACCTGCAAATGGCCCTGCCAATCAATAAGTATTTATTAGGAGCATACTTTCTATTTAGCACCGTGATAAAAAAAAATCATTGAACACAATTATTTTATGGATTAGTTGCATATATTTCCTTCTTTTTTTCTCAGTTTAGAAATGGATATAACTCATCAAGTTTGATTAGGAAGAGGTATACCCATAATCAGAATGTATGAAACTAAACATCTAAAATATAAATGATATTTCAAGGAAATGGTGTGACTAACTCTTTTTATTACATTAAAGTAGTCTTCAACTTGAAAGTAACATGGGCTTGTATTCTATGATAACTTTCAGTTTCAGTGATGAGAATTCAATTTTTTAAAAAATGAATGTTGAAAATATATAAATATTAAAATTTTTAAAAGGAGTCAGTTAAGACTGGTGTCATGGAAGAGAATGAAATGTTGATTTAGGTTAAGAAGAATTTTTTTGACTGGAAAGGTTGCAAAGAGATTTTGTAGTTTTCTAAGGTTGGATGCAAAATTAATATAATGCCATTTGTGAAGAGGCGCTTAGAGAATCTTGCCACAATTAGGTCATGAGTCTATGGGTTCCTAGGAGAATTAAAGTAATCATAAATTATCATTAGGAGACCTTGAAGAATATCATGCTGCACTTAGTTTAAAGGATAAGATAGATATCTGTTATAGTGAGAATATACCATATTCTCAAATATGGATAGGTTAAGTGCTTACTCATGATCCCATTCAGCCCTGGGATGCTAAGAGAGTCTGAAAATGGGAAAGTATGGTCATTTAAAGCTGATTCATTATAAGATAAAAGTTTTGCAGAATCCCATATTTCTAATATTTGGTCTTGGATGAGGCAGAGAGGTCTATAACCTTTTAACCTTTAAGAAGTGTTTAACCAAGTCATGTTTATTTTCAAAGTCATGGTTAAATTTCAAGCAGATGAGCTTAGGTGAGATTTGGAGTGGGGGGGTGGAATATGGTAGAGTCTTTTTTGTGCAGGAATTATTTAATTATTCTGTATAGTTGACATTGAATTAGTAATTTGAATAAAGGTAAAAGAACCTTACATTTTCACATTTCTCTTTCACATTAAAAGCTCAGATATAAACATAAAGCTACCTCCTATGTGTTCAATAGAACTGTTTCCTCACAACAACCCTCTGAAGTAGACAGTGCAGGCATATCATCTCCATTTTCAAGTCAAAGAGCTTTGTCAACTCAAATGTATTTTCTGTCATATGCAAGCTAGTGCAGGGGATGAAGATTAATGTCTCTGCCTTCATGGAGTATAAGAGCAGAATATCAGGACCTGAGATTTGTCCGGGATTACACAATCTTAGCTTTAGGGGTTCAGCTCCAAGTTCAGAGCTCCATTTGTTAACACAAGACTGCTTCAAGTAGTTGACATATTTCTAATGAGATATGTGGAAATGCTGGTCTGGAATGATTAATAATATTAGCTAATAGTTTCTAATATTTATGTAGTGATTTTAGGTTTACAAAGCACTTTATGTTATCTCTCTTGATCTTCACAATAGCTCTCTGAGGTAGGTGATATTATCCCCGTTTTACAGATGAAACTGAATCTGACAGAAATTAAATGACTTGGCCAGAATCACATAACTAGTGTCTGAGGTGAGGCTTTGAACTCAAACCTTCCTGAATCCAAGCCCAGGGCCCTATACACAGACCCACCTAGTGATCTAACCATTACTTGTCTAGATTAGGGCCAAAGAAAGTCAGATCTTTGAAAATTGGAGGCATAAATATTCAGTGATCATATTTATCAAGACGATTTTTTCAAGAAGCTGAATTCTCAAATAATGCCAATAATCAAATTATTCATACTTTGAAAAGAACTTTCAGCTGCTGATGGTAAAAGTTTGGGGAGCTGACCTTTACAGAACATTCAGTTCTAAAGAGTTCTCAGTTGGGAGAATTCCCAACATGCAGTGCAATATGAAGGTAGAGAGCTTTTGTTCTTGAGACAAGCCAAGCCAACAGGATGTCCACAGCCAATGGTGATTGCTTTCGTGACCATATTCCAGCATATAACACAAAGACTTTCTTCCTCTTCTTCAACTTCATCTATGAATACCCTTTGATATGGCTCAGGAATTCAGATTGAAGAAGCATCTGAGCTCAGAGAAGGATATACCCTATGACTCGGTCTTTAATGAATATGGACTTGTTCTCAACAATTGGAAGGATGATTTGGAATTCATGATCTTGGTAGAAAGGGTTGAGTTGATAGAAGCAGTTGAATTAATGTTGATTCTCAGGTGATAAGGATGTGGAAATCTAGTGGGAAGCTGGCATTGGCCATTATCAGGATTTATGGTACAGCCGAAACTGGCCTTCTTAGTGTTCCTTCATCTCCCACGTCCATGCCTATTCACTGAGTGTTTCCTATTCCAGGAATGTATTCCCTCCTTACTTCTGCTTCTTAGAATTCCTAGATTCCTTCATTATTCAGCTCAAATGCCACCTTAGATATGAGACCTTTCCTTATCTCTCCACTAGTTAGAAGCCCACACCCCCAATTACTTAGAATCTATTTCATATGTGCTTATATATGTATATGTTTGTCTTCCCCAAAAGGGTGTAAGATTCCTAAGAGTACTTCATGTTTGTTTTTGTATCTCCAACGCCTAGCATACTGCTTGACATATAGGACATATATATCCATATATAACCATCTTATTGATGGATAAATTAAATGAGTGATTGAGTAGTGCAGAGTTGCAAAATTGTTCCATATACTATCTCCACCATCATGTTCTAAGTTGCCAATTCCAAATTAAAGCTGATATTGTAATTAAAGACTCTGTTTTTGCTTTGTTTTTAAGGTAAATAAATTCTCAGATCTTGATCATGAGATAAAAAGTCAGTAGGTATGATGGAAGATAAAGAGGTTTTTTTGGTAATTATTATTGTTCTTCCTTCACAGCAAAAGGAGAGCATAAAATGGAAGAAACCCACGTGGAGAATGCTCAGAAAAGGTAGGTGGCCAATCAGTTTCTCAGTCTTCTCTAGAAGAACCATTCTCTCAGCCCTATTAAGACCAAACTTCCAAGAAAAAAACAATTCATTGAAAACTGGATTAGAAGCTCTAAAAGAAGGTGGTACAATATTTCCAGAAGTGATAACACTAGCTATATGATTTCATTCCTGCCTTTGTAGAATAGAATTATACAGCTGTGCCTGAGTAACTTTAAGGAGATTCTTATTGGCTGTTTTCCTCCTCATCAGTATGAATAGTGTACTGGAACAACTTTTGTAAAGGCCTTCCTTTCCTCTGATTTTGAATAAAGATGCTTTGAAGATGAAAGAAAGTTAGCAAGTGGTTGGGGAAAAGGGGTAAAAAACCTCTAAATAAGCGGTGTCCTCACTCTCTGTTCCCTTAAGTGGACATATCTATGAGGAAAAGACCAATAATTTGAGAAGATGATTCCTTAACATTCTTTATTCCTTTTGCACAGTTCGAGCAACCCAACACTCTCTCCCTTTTGCAAGGTTAAGCAGGAACCTAATGCTTTAGATGTTCACAAATTAAGAGCATATAATTGGTGCAGATCTTTGCTGGTCCAGATGTTGGGCAAAATTCGCACTGCATTCAAAAATGAAATGAGAAAAACATTGGACATTAGAAAAATAAAGCACAGCACTCTATCATTCCATGTTGCTAGCATAAATTTCTGTATTACTACTGGATATCAGCTGTTTTGTTTTGTTTTGTTTTGTTTCTTGAAACCTATTGATTTTCAAGCACCGGGTAGGAAAAGTTCTGGTTCTATTTATACTGCTTTATAATAGGACATGTCATCTGGTCATCATTCCACTGAACCTGCTTACATTGTGAACTTGCTAGGGTAGGAACTTTAGGGAAAATATTTTCAATTTTCTAGGTATAGAACCCCCTTGGCATGATAATTCTTCTACCCTATTTTTTTGGGGGGGGGAGTATAGTTGTAGTTATAATCTTAGATTTTGTCGCAGCATTTCTTAAACTGTGGATTGCAAACCCTTATGGGGTCACGAAAAATTTGGCAGCAGTAGGAGGTTTCTAAACATACAATGACCAAAAATTAATTAAAAAATCAAGTGCATTATGAATCTGAGGTATTTCTGACAGTGCTTGCCCACTTTGCATTCACAACTTCACTACAGCCTTGGTTCTGAACACCGTGCATACCCTCAGGCCATGCAATGCCAACAAAGAGTGGGAAAGGTTTAAGAAGCCCTTGAAGGTACTTTTGCTGAGTATGTGTTATTCTTTTGTTTCCCAGTGTATAAAGGAAAATGTGTGTGTGTGTGTGTGTATGTGTGTGTGTATACACACACACACATACACACACACACACATATATATATATATATACTTTGTATGGCAGTTATCTTATTCATGTATGGAATCCCAAGAAGGTGCTGCTATCAGAACACTCAGAAACGCCACTTTCAAGGGTAGAAATTCGATTTGCTGTATTTGTTCAAACTTAAAGAAAAGAGGCCCACCTGAGTGGGTGAGGCTGCCTGCCATGGTGCATTAGCTATGCTGAGTGAGGCCATAAATTGCCATGGTCAGCATTTTCTGTTGCTTTGTGGTGAAGGTGGTCTGCTTTCATGACAGACATGAAAAAAAAAGTTAGACCCCATCTTTTATGTGGAAACCGCAATTGTTTAGTTGCCCTCTTAAAAGGAGGTTGGTGGTCAGTGTTGTAATATTCATGCAAGATTTGGTCAGTTCAAAAAAAAAGATTTGGTCAATTCTTCAGTTTTATCCTCAAGAGAAACAATTTACTCTGAGGCTAGAGAGTATTTGCTTTTCCTAAGCAGTTTCTGAAGGGCGTACATGGAAAACAATAAGTGAACATGTTCCAGTGTGGGATCTTACACTGTAAATACAGTTTCCTGGGATTTTTGCCTAAGAGAAGATACAGAACAATTCACTTTGCTGGGAGGGGGAGGGTCTTTGATACAGTCACTATCTTATGCCAAAATTTTGGTTGAATTAAAAGGATATAAATCAGACAGGAAATTGCAGAAAGAAAAAAGAGGATAATTAAGGGAGTAATTTCAGGGTAGGAAAAAAGTCATATGAATACAAAATATACAGCTAGAAATCCACTTTTTTAAAGTTGAAAGGTACTTTCATGTATTATCATTCTACTATGAGACATATAAAGAATATTGTTGTCCTTTGGACAATAGTCTCTGTTAGAGACTATTAGCCTGCTCTATTAATATGATTAGTTATTATTATTTAGATGTGAAAGCTTACTTTAGATTGTTTACAGTGGCCAGCTCTAATACTTAATTGAAATTAAATTCTAAAAGAAAAGTATGTTGCATTTGGAGCTTGGTATCCTAAACTCTCAGATAGTTGTAGGTTTAATTTCTAGGTTTTCCTTGAGAAGAGTAACAAATCAAGTGTTTGGTCTTTGGTAAAGTTGGAGGGATTAGCCAAGCTTAGCTCATCTTCCAGCAATTTGTTTTCTCTGGTTTCTCTGGAGGTACATTTGCTGTTAGTTTCCAAAACATACAGGCAGAATTGCTGAAATTCAGTATTCCCTTTAGTTTTCACCCCAGTAAGTGTTAGCTAACAGGGCCTCAGAATCCCAGGGAGGGGACAATGAGTGTGTATGGTCAGACTCTGTTTACATCTTGGGAAACCGAAACCTCAGAGAAGATGACATGCTTTTCTCCTTCACTGTGATAATAGCAATTCTCCAACCCGTAGTGTCATTCCCTGAAATGGCTTCAGTGTTTATAGTATCATCAGGAGTCTGTGGATCCATTCAAACACAATGTTTGCTTTTTGCCCCTTTGCCTCATGCTGCTGGTGAGGAAGGAGGTGACCTTTCTCTCCTTTCTCTTTCCTGGAACATATTTCTCAATGCTAAAGGTAGACTTACTGATTGTGTATGCATGTGTGAAATAAAGGTGAAAGAATAGAAATATTTTATGTACTATCCACCAGACCTTTAAAATGGGTAAAGAAAAACAAAAGTTTATAAAAACTACTTGCCTAAAACAGAAGAAAATATTTTCTTTTAAATACCCATCCCACTTACCAAGAGAGATATGGAATTGTAATAGAAAGAAGAGTGGAATTAGGCATCAGGATACCGGGATTCTAATCCTCTCTGCCACTAGCTAATATGGGAAAATTGTTTCACCTACCTGGGACTCATTTTCATCATCTATAAATTGAGGGGTTAGAACTAGATAATCTCTAAGATTTCTTTCCAGATATAACAATCTACATGCTCTAAATATTCCACAATAAACTCCTCTGTGTTATCTATCTAATTTGTTTCTTGTTTCCATGGTAATGAACTTTTTTTTAACAGAAAAAATTACTTCTGACTATTCATTTGGTTTCCTAGGAATTTTTATTACCATAGTCTTAAAGTTTTGCATCTGGTTCAAAAAGGAAAAAAAGAATATTTCTTTTTTGTTTTTATTATTTCTGTTTTTCTGGTTATCAAAATATGTATGTTTAAAATTACAAGGCTCATTCTCTTAGGAAACCACTAAAATTATTGACCTGTTCCCTTCCTGCACTTCCATTCTTTTAATAACTAGGACATAAAAATCCCTGACCAACATTTCTAATTTGTACTAAAAACAGATTTTATTTTTTTAATTTACAGAAGCAAAAAGAATTTATAGGACTCTGAGCTGTAGTTCTAGCTTGGATCTCGCCTAATCATGTCCATGGAATCAATTAGCAGTTCATCTGTGAAATGTGATAAAAATCTTATGAGATACATATTGCACAATAATTGAAAATGAGATGAAAGTACGAATCATAATAGTAAAGGACTTCAGAGTTTTATAATCACTGATGAACTGAGTTCCAATAGAAATGCTATATTCAGAATGGCCACAAAAATGTGGAGCCTGCAGGAGATGATAGAGCATGGAGTCATAAACCTTGCTGGTCATAACTCCTTTGATTACTTTCCAGTGCCCTAGGAAAGAGGTCCCTTTACTGAAGCGTGCTTGCCTCTGGCAAATTAGCCATTTGGTATATGCTGGGGAAAGGAGGTATGGGGAGTGAATAAGAACAGAGTTTAAGTTTAGAAATAAAAATTGTTGACTACTTAGAGCTTTGTATCTACTCAAAGAAAGACAGTTTGGGGGACCTAGGCATTTCTATACTAAAAATCACTAATCTTTACATAGCACTTTAAGGCTTGTAAACTACATGTTGTCTGATTCTCGCAACAACTTTTTGAAGTAGACACGCTTATTTTCCCCATTTTACAGATGATGGAACTGAGGCTGAGACAGATTAAATGACTTGCCCAAGATGATGCACCTAGTAAATTTCAGAGTTCAAATTTGAACTCAAGTGTTTCTAAAGTCCAGAACTTTATCTACTACATCATCTAGCTGCTTATAATAATAGCTAGCATTACAGGTTTGCAAAGTGCTTTAGATGGTTTATCTTACTTGAGCTTCACAACAATCCTGTGAGGTAGGTACATCCCTATTTTACAGATAAGAAAACTGAGACTAGGTAGGTGGGGCAGTCAATAGAGTGCTGGGCCTGGAGTCCAGAAGTCTCCTCTTTCTGAGTTCAAATCTGACCTTAGACACTTCCTAGCTGTGTGACCCTAAGCAAGTCACTTAATCCTCTTTGCCTCAGTTTCCTCATCTGTAAAATGAGCTGGAGAAGGAAATGACAAACCACTCCAAAATCTTTGTGAAGAAAACCTGAAATGGGGCCACAAACAGTCAGAAACAACTAAAAAACAATTGGACAACAAAGAATGCAAAAAAGGATCTGTAGCATACGGAGATTCTTTTCTTTAAGGCCTTGGTTTTTTCTCTTCTTAAATCTTTACAAGGGATTTTCTTCCAGCCCAGACATCTTCCCAGATCCCAAGCAAATCTGATTTTGGCTGCACCAAGTATGCTATATGAGTTGATTTGTCTGTTTATGTTATTGAATTATGCTGGACTAAGTTGAATCATAAAATATTATGCCTGGAAGGAACCATAACCATCATGTAGCCCAACCCCCTCATTTTGTAGAGAAAGAAACTGAGGCCCAGAGAGCTCAAGGGAATGACCCAAGGTCAGACCTCCAATTGTGGCAGAGCTTGGAATTAGAACCGAAATCTTCTTATGCCTAGTTCAGTATTCAGTATACCCCATTTTATCATGATTTTACATCTAGTGGGGGGAAGGAGTAGAACTCACAATTTTCTCTTATTCTACACACACACACACACACACACACACACACACACACACACACACACACACACGAATTGTGCATTTTGATTCCTAGACAAAAAGATATGTCCCCAGAATCATGCCCCCAAAGAAACAGAGTTTGAGGATTGTCATATTTGGTGGTCAGGGCTGCAATACTCTCCAAGGTTGAAGGTAATTTACAGTAATTATTAGACTGAGCTACTGAGTCAGAAACCAGGCTTGCGAGAAACCTAGATTTCCCCAATGGGTTTAAGTGTTGACAGTTTTCCTCCTTCTCTCATCTTTCTTCTCTCCTGCAGTTTTGAAACAACGGTAGGATATTTTGGGATGAAGCCAAAGTCTGGTGAGAAGGAGATCACACCCAACTATGTGTTTATGGTGTGGTATGAATTCTGTAGTGACTTCAAGACCATTTGGAAGCGAGAGAGTAAGAATATTTCTAAAGAAAGGTAAGGTTCTAATAAAGTCATTAATACCCCCTTCAGGAGTCTGGGAAACTGCCTTCCCAAACTTAACAAATTACACTCCCATATTTCACAGGCAGCAGTGTTTGCTTTCAGATGAAGTGGACATCAAGGAAAGATTATTGCCTCGGGGTGCATAGGGAAATTCAGGGAAGGCTTGCTGCACACACACCCCCCTCCCAAGCAGATAAACACACATGATCTGATAAGTTACACTTTCTTAACCCCTTCCAATTACTAGCTAGTAAAATGAAAGGGGAGCCGTGCTAATTTGCAACAGATTGTTTCTCTGGGCATTCTCATGTTAGGCCGGCCTAAATGAGGTGGTATTGCTGTCGCAGACAGTACAGACAAATAAAAGTGAATGCTTTTCCCATTAATATACTGAACTTGCATCAAAGGGAAGTCCCTGAGACTCAGGCCACACTTAACACAATGTTGAAGCCCCACGCTGGATTTACAGCGCCACTTCTGACTCCTTGTATCCTGCTTAGGACATCAAACTACATGCCGCTAGGTCTCATTGCAACCTCTTGATTTTATTAGTTGGGAGCAGAAGGAAAACCTCGGCCTTGAGGTGGTTCGGGTTTTGTTCTCTTTCATGGAAAACCTGGATTGTGCCTTGTGTTTACCGTAGGGAACATCCCTTCCTTTATCTCTGACTGTTAACTATTCTAGCAGGTTGCCATCTTTCCTAAAGGAATACCATGGGTCCAGACTTCAAACAGGTCTGAACTCCTGCAAAACAGATGTATAGGCAAGCTGGTTAGGAAGGAAAAGGAAAAAAAGAAGTCTCCCAAAGTAAAGGAAGCTATTCCCTCAGATGGTATCTACACTAAATATTCATTGAAGGCAATTCCTATTCATCACTACTGACTCTCACTCCTATCTATAACCTTGAAATTATAAAATAGAGAGATTTTGGCTTATGATTTTGTACCTGGGGGAAAAAGATATTTAGATCTTGGCAGGTTATGCCTCAAAAGTTAAATTTGAGGGTTTTGATGAGTTACAGTGCTTTTTTAAAAAAAAATAAATTTTTTACCATATGTTTTGTTATTATACTATCTAAATTTCCTCCTACATCCTGTCCCCTGCCTCTTACTGGAGAGCTGTCCCATATAACCAAAAAAAAAAAAATTTTAAGGAAAACATGTGGGAGATGAAAAAATCAACAAGACCTATCAATACCATAAAATGTCTGAAAACGTGTACAGTATTCCATTCATGTAGACCTCCCTCTTCTGAAGAGGAGTAGGAGCAGGGAGCTGTCTTCTTCTGTCTCTTCATTGGGGCTATCTTTGCTCTTTGTGCATTGCAGTACCTTCTCTGTGGTTTAACTGGCAATACTATTTGGTACTCCTGTGAGATATTATCAAGGAACAATTTTAGAGAGTCTCATCCCTGCCCCCACTCCCCACCTTTTAGAAAAGCAAGAGCTTACTAAAATTGCTCCATGCTCTTGAAAAAGAGATTAAGATACTCCTGTTAAACAACAAGTGTACATATTTTATAATAAATTTTATAATTTATACTAAATTTATAAAATTAAATTTAAATTTTCTAATAGCCTAATAATCCTAAATATCCTAAAACCCCCAAAATCCTAATAATCTTAATATCCAACTAATTGCCTTTTTGCTGTCATGATACAAACACTCTTAAGAACACAGGAGTATAGATAACCCTAGACATGGTAGGGACTTCAGGGGCCATCTAATCTTTCATATGAGGAAACTGTGGCCCAGGGAGTGCAAGTGATTTACCTAAGGTCACACAAGTAAAAAATATCAGACACAACATTTGAACTCAAGTTCTCTGACACCAGAACCAGTTCTCTTTCTACTGTACCAATTCTATAAGATGAATGTTACATTTTACAAGTTTCCTATAAAAGATGGTACATCTAACCCCCTGCTTTTTTGATGGAGTAGACTTCTTGTTGGTTTTCCACCCATGAACCTTAGTCATAAAATCCAGTAGCATTTCCAGTAGCATCCAGCCGGGGTCTCTCTGTCAAATTACCACTTGAGCTGGAACCTTAACTGTGGATCCAAAAAAAAAAGAAAAAAATCAGAATGACAAGAGAAATCCATCAATTATTTTTTTATTCTAATGATTGTTGAAATGCCAGCTGGTACACCAAATTAATGAGTATTACCCTACTATAGGAGTGAACTCTGTTGCCCATTCAGACCAGAATAATTATCTTTCTGCCAGAGCAATGGGAACTCACCGTTCTTCAAAGTGACATTTTCCCCAGCTTGCCCTCATAGGATTTTTTTTTTTTTAGTTTTGCTTTCTGGAAAACAACTGCCCACTTTGTACTCTGTAAACCAACACCTTTTACAAGTCCTGAATTTAAAGTTTTTAAGATGGAGATAGTTTCTGAGGCCTCTGATTTGTCAGTCATGTGCATCTCTTCATTCCAACTATTCTTTGGACCAGGGAAACCCCCTGATTTCTAACTTAAGACAAAATCTTTGAAAATTAATGATAGCTAGTAAGGTATTTGAGGAAGCCATTAATTAATTAAGAGTTTTAAACATGTTTATATATGATAATGGAAACCCATTTAAAGATCTTGGTTATTGTCCATTACTCCCTCATACAGAGTTTCTCAAGGGAAATACAATCAGGAAGTGGGGACTTTCGATTGTGCTATCTCTCAAATAGCAGGTATTTTGTTCTTTGGGTCCCCTCAGACTCATGTAGTGATCTTTGAGGTGACTTGAGGTAATCAATTTGCATTTACACAATAGCTAGGTGTCTTAGCCAAAAGCACTGGACTCCATGGCTTGGAGACCTGAGTTTGAATCCTTCAACAGTCACTTAATATCTATGGAGCCCTGGCCAGCTTCCTCAACTATAAAATGGGATAATAATAATACCTATGTCCCAGGGTTGCTGTAAGGATCAAATAACATATTTAAAGCACTGTGCAAATTTTAAAGCCCTATATAATATATAAAGATTTATTTATATTATATATATATATTTGTATATATAACATAAATATTAGCAACTATTAGTCATTGATCAATAAATTGATTGATTTAATCGATAAATTCATCAATTTATTAAGCACCTTTTTGCCAAGCACTGTGCTAAGCTCTTAGTTATTAATTGTAAAAGGTTCCATTAAACTGGACAGCAGATGGCTTGCCTTTATCATTTTGGTGCCATTTTCACTGAAGATACGTGGCAAACTTAATCAGAGAATTACAGAATTTGAAAATTGGTAGGGAACCTCAGTGGTTGTTTAGTTCAACAGATACACAAAAGGAATCCCCACTATAACATACCATATAAGAATAGAAGTAGACCATTAAAATTTTAGGTTGTACTTTGTCTGGAAATAAATTGTGTTGAGCAACACTGAATACTCGATTGTAACCTAATATTTTTTTAAAAATTCAAAGTCCAATTACACCATAAAAATAAAGTAAATGTCCGTATGAAAACATGATCTTGTAACTATTTATAAAAACTAAAAGTATAGTGTTAGAGTTCATCCAGAAAAATTTTATACTTCATCCTTTTTATAAGTAATCAATTAAGTTCTATTAAGGGCAGCTAAATTAGACCTCAAGAAACTTAGAGGTTGGAGCTGGAAGTAGCACTACCTTTTTGTTTTATGTTGGTGTTCATGAAGTTTTATATTTGTACAGCTCTGTGACTAGATACATTGCAGACTATTATACTCAGGCATTTAAGGAAATTTGGTATAATGGGAAAGGTACTGGACTTAAAATCAGAAGGCCTGGGTTCATTTCCTAATTTAACTACCTTTGTGACTTTAGCAAGTAACTTTGATTTTTGGGGTTTGGGTTTTGTTTTTTGGTTTTTTTTTCAAGCAAAGTTTCCTTGTTTATAAAATAGATAGTATGACCTATTAAATAGAAAGTTGATTTCAGAGAAAGGAGGACTTGGTTCAAGTCTTAGCGCTAACAGATTCTGGCTGTGTTACCCTGGACAAGTCACCTGTCCTTTCAATGCACCCACTATCTCTCTAAATTACAGAGCAAGTCCTCATCTGTTTTGGTAGAGGGAGTTTCCTCACTGGGAATTCCCTGTGACAGTGATATCACAGTTTCCATTTAAAATGCATACATAATATATTTTCTATTATAAAATTTAAATTTTATTTTATAAATTATAAAATTTATTATGAAATATATGTGTGTATATTATATTAAACACATTATATAATATTTTATACTTATAAATGTTACATATATTTCTAAGAGCCTTCCTGGAAGAGGTAAAGGAGTACCATGTGAAGTCAAGAGACAGCTTCTAGACCTAGCTTTGCATTAATTTCCTACTCACCTAGAAAAAAAAATCACTTAACTTCTGTAGGGCTCAGGTTCCTTATCTTCACTCTAGCAACACTCCAAATATTCACTTTCCTTAGATCTACCCACCCCTAGGTCAACCTTGAGCAAGTTAGATGAGATTTATTTCTGAGATCTCTGCCAGTTCTTAATATTCAGTGATTCTTAGAAAGGGTCTAGACAACAGTGACATGCCGTAGTTACGGCAGCAGTTAAGTCTTTCTTACTGTCTGATAACATTCTGTTTTGAGTTTGCTTCTGTGAATTTCATAACACAAAAGCTACTGCTGCTCAATTATAGCTGGAATATCTACATTATAAAGTACTCTAATACCTAACTGAGAAGACCTGCCTACCGAATACATGTTGTAATTCGCAAAAGGTAAAAACCTCCCAGAGGAACCATGTGGGGAATATTATTGGTAAATTGTTCATTCACCCTGAGCCAAACCAAACAGCTGTACTATTTAAAGAGCCCACAATGGGAAGGTAATGAGTGAATAAGGAGTGTGGTAAGCTTCCTGGGATGTGCAAAAGAGAGATTCCATTATACACATAACAGTTATTATACAGTACAAGGAAATGGTTACTTTATTTTCAAGCCCAACTAAATTTTGAGTTGATTTCTAAAATATATCACTTGTAACT